CTAATTGAGGAAGAATACAACTCCTTCGTAAATCTCTACAAAACCAGATCAATTATTGACTACTCAAAGATAGAGATTTCCAACCTACAACTTCTGGACAAGTCTCACAAAAATATTGTAACATTCTTTTCGCAAACCAAACTAACAGACTTACATTACAAAATTATAGATGATCTATTCGAGGAAAAATTCGATTTTCAACCTAATCAGGTTAACATTTCATCCAGCAAATCTGTGAAGGCACGCAAATACTTCATCATTCCCATTCCTTGATCCTTGCATAAATGAGAAAATAGTCCCTACCCTCTTTTACTTGCTTTCCAAGTGTCAAAACGAAATTAACCCTGAAAAAACCTTTTGCATAGTAAACAATCTAGAATTACCTATTCTCAAAATATTTTCCTTTATATTTGCCGTAAAAGACATTAAGCTTAAGATATGCCAAAATATCGTCAAAACCACAGATCAAGACCAAATCCCAATTATCTTGGACCAATATCATACTGGAAAAACAAATTCACATCGTGGAATCAACGAAACCGTTAGAAGGATTAAAGACAAATACTCCTGGCAAGGTTAACCAAAGATGTTGAGAAATTCATCAGAGCCTGTGAAATCTTCCAAAAAGTTAAAATCTGTAGGAAAAATCTTAGTTCTCCTCTCGTTATCACTGAAACTCCTAAAACTCCATTTGAAAGGATGAACGTTGACCTTTTTGAATTCCCAGTTCATAACTACGTAATAACAGTTAGGGATGAACTTACCAAATTCACTCAAGCTCACCCAATCTCAGACAAAAAGGCGTCCACAATTGTTAGCACCCTACTAGTATTCTTCCAACATTACGGCACACCTTAAAGAATTCACTGTGATTGTGGAGGTGAATTCAACAACGCCTTGCTCAAAGGCCTTTGTCAACTTTTCGACATAAAATTGGCATTTTCAAGCGTAAGCCACCCACAATCCAACGGATCGCTAGAAAGATTCCATGCAACTTTAATGGAGTTGATCCGCGTTCATAAAGCGTAACATCCAGATGAACACCCATTCAACATTCTCCCGTACGCAGTTATCTGTTATAATAATACCAAAAATAAGACACACGGATTCACACTTTTCGAATTAATCTTTGGCCATACGTCGAATAGACCCCTTGAGACTCTTTATAATCAAAAACAGCTAATTTCCAAATACATACGAAACCTCAACAATAGAATGGATCGAGCCAGAACCGATTTCCAGAAAGAAAAGTCGAAAGTAAAGTTCGACAAGACGGTCTTACAAAATCTTCCAGAATATAAAGCAGGTGACAAGATGTATGTCAAAAAAAATCAATTAAGACAGACTGAAGCCGTTCTATGACTAGTCTATTCTTTCCTCGTCGGGCTGATTCCAGTCGTAATCCCTCAATTTCTTCTAACTCCGAGAACACAGTTGGAATATTCTATCAGAAGGTAGTCTTAGAGTCTCAAATGATAAATGGACCCATTTAGTTTACAAAGAAAGAGAATCATTTAGAAAAACTATCCAGAACAATAAAAAGATTCTCACTAGCCTGACCAAAATAATTGATGATTCTACATTGAGCATCTAAAAGAGAGTGTGGGCTTCCAGCTCTGATAATCTGGCCAAGGCGGGGTTATAGGCCTGTAAGTAGAGTGTTTAGGGCCATAGATTCCACAAGGGAGGACTGTGCTTCTTTTTGATCTACTGTTTTAAGGTGTGGTGACTTTTGGATAGAAGAATGCATTTTAGCATTCAGCACTTAAAGTCTGTTGTAGAAAGTAAGGGGAGACTCGTCAGATAGTTGTTTGAGTCGTTGGAGGTCATTGATAAGAGCTGAGAGGTCTCTAGAATCTCCAAAGTGTCAATTGAAAATCTTCCATATGTAGCACGATACCTGGATATTTATTTAGAAGCTTATCAATCAGAAGGTAAATTTGTCGCTGATCGAACCTGAGATATACAATCTTTATCACATCTACCCTATCCCGATTTTGGATAATCGAACAGGTTTTCATCATATTTCACCAATAACTCAAAAATATATCGCGAGAGATGACGATTCTTCATTGTACATATTACTCCAAAGCCTGAATCACTGCAAACCTCTTGATAATAACACAAGGATATGTTCTGACCTTCTACAGTACCCTATAGACAGCGATGCCATTTACGAAGCCCAACGCCTGAATTCAACAGGGACACTTCCCAAGACTTTCCAAACCTCAATCTTACTTGCTAGTGACTACAATGTGCAAGAACTAGACACAAACTACTGGCTCATAACATTATCCTCGTCCCTTCCAATCATTATCAAATGTGATGGCAAAATAGTGTGACAAAAACAATCAACACCAACACAGTGCTCAAGCTCCAACTAACATGCAATGCCTTTATAGGAAACTCTAGAATTCATGCTAGGCATCTAGCTGAAAAATACAAAAATACGTCACCTATAAAAGCCATCCAGTGGAAATTCCTTATGACTGCTGCAAACACCTGCCGGTGAATCTTCATGTGCCAGAGTTGAAACCTCTTAAACTATCTAAAATCAACATTGATGATCGTAACGTGGCACAGCATAGACTAAATCAATTTTCCGATGAACTGGATAAACTAATCCAAGAACCATTCGTATCAAGACACAGTCAATGGTTCACCTCCTTCATCATCGTACTAAAAGCAGCCATTGTAATCATTTACATTTGTTGTAAGTTTCGGCGAAAGGCACCTCCTAAACCTAGCCCTATCGACGAAGACGAACAAAAACCGCTGAAGTCTCATTCACGTCTTCAAATAGGCAACAATCTTAGAAAGCTTCTACCGAAGAACACCGTTCATCCAAATCTACCCTCAGAGCAAGAGATGACCAGTCTACACAACAACCCAGTTGGTTTTCAAAACTTTTTACTTAATGGGGGAGTTGTTGTATGGATTTCACGACTACAATGACCTCCAGACGCGTCTCATCACCACGGTCGTACAAAGTATCGCAAAGTCTAGACGCTTCTTCAGCAACTTATCCTGTCTTATTCGTCATTATTAAGTTAGTCAAGTTAATGTCCAATATAATTATAACTTGTATTTTAAAATAAATTAGTGTTTTTTTTTAAAAAAGTGTCTTCAAGAGTTTTTGAGATAACATGTATGATGCTGGTTGTTGCAAATTTCAGTTCAAGTAGTTTAAACATAGTTTTTTTTCTTTGGCAGCTTTTAGCCAAAATTCTGATGAATGAATTTTGGATGGTAAATCATGTGGGCTTCATTGCAGTACTTGCAAGCATCAGTGGCTTTGTCTTCATTGCTTGAGTTGGGGCGAATTTTCTTCTGTGTGTCTGAAATTGCTTCTAATGATTGGAATCTTGCTTGAAGAAATTTCCTTCTTTCAACAAAGTCCTGTATTTTATGAGGCTTGCTTAGCAATTGTTCATAGAGCTTGTTGGTTTCATGATCCCATTTTCATTATTCTGTTGTTCTTGGGTATATTTGGAACAATAGCATAATATCTTCCTTACTGGACAAGAACTGTATAAAAGAATCCCATTTTCAGCAGATGATGCGACTGATAATAGGACCCCAATTAGAAGTATCGATACTTAGATTATTGATGGCTTCAAGACATTCCACAACTGTATCGTGAGGCTGTTTAATCTTGAATGATGATTCGTGAATAATCACTGGAAGATTCTAAGATTCTATCTAGTAGTTTGGAGACAATCAGGCCTATGATGTATCCTCTGCTGTTATTTTAATAGTTGTCTTATAGCTCAAAATCTATACCTCTCTCTATTTTTGCATATAGAATAAATAGTGACAGATAACTTAACGTTGCTGTTGAAATAACAGAAAATGATACATCATAGGCCTGTATAAGTCTGTTGTTGCTGTATCTGTCATTGAGAATATTCCAAGCAGGGCAATAGTTGGTTTCTGCTATAGACAGGTGCTGGATCAGTCTTCCAGCTTCTCCTCTCACATGCGTTTCAAGATACCTACTGCATTTTCTCTATTGTCGTAATTGTTGGATTTTCATGAACCACTTTGATGAAAATGTCTCGAAATGTGATCCACTCTTCATATCGGCCTTCAAAAATTGGTACTTTGATTTGAGGTAATGTTATATTGTATTGTCTCACAACTTGTTTTACTCCTTGTCCTGGAGGTTTTGTACTGTTTTTTCGTACCGCTTTTCAAGGTCTTGAATGGGATTTTTGATAGTACTGTCAATTCCCTGAACCTGTAGGTGCTTTAGACCGGTGTCTAAGCGTTAACCCCGAAGGGCGCGAGGGTATGTGTATATTTGATTATTAATAGGATGTAGGAAGAAGTGTATAGCCAGACAAGGCACATGCTATATTAGGAACGGGATGCTGTAACCAGACAAGGCACTTACTACAGCAAGGAAGGGATGTAACCCCGAAGGGCGCCAGTGTATGTGTGTAGGTTAAAGAATAGGAATGAAGGGAGGACTGTTGGGAAGGGCTGGTTTCCAACCTTTATCTTCTTTTTGCTCGAAAAATCAATGTCAATTCCAGTACTGGAATTCAGGAGGATGCTCAGAATACTTGGTAGTTTGTTGTTTATGGTTGGGCTAGTAAACCCGGGAGGTTTGGTAACTGGGTAGTAAGAATTACTGTTGGATTAATATTTAATAAGAACTATTTATATACAAAAAATGCAACTTTGACAAACGTCATGAACAATGGTAATAATTGAAAAGAATAAATCGCTGACAAAAATCTGTTGTGTGCTCCACATCGAAAGATTTGGTAAATAAATGTTTCCTGACCTAGGAGTATCTGGACGCTAATAATTAATTAATTTTTGTAATGATTTTGATAGATATAGTTTTTATTACTAAATTTTGAATTTAGACACAGACTTTTCTATAAAAATCGATGTTGGAAACAAATATCAGTGCACTTGCCTCAGATCCATATTCGAATTAAATATCTCCGAAAAAATCATTTATTGACCATTATTTAATGTCTTTGTAGCTCCCTATGAAAATTCTACAACATGCGTATACGATGGCAGAGTTTACAAGGAAGGTGAAAATTTCTTACCAAAAAACTCTTGTTGGAGGTGCGTCTGTCAAGCAGGATTTAGAGGTAATTTTTCTCAAACCTATATTTATCAAATTGCTATCAGTAATTATATGTTATTATAGGAAAACTTGAAAAACCTTTCTGCAGAAGACGTTCGTGCGGTGTACAAGTGAAAAACCAGGAAAAGTTGCAGGAAAGATGCGCTCCGTTGTATTATAAAAGAAAATATAGGGAAAGTGATCCTTTGTGTTGCCCCACAAATTGGATTTGCAGTAAGAATTTCCGAAGGGAGAGATTTTAAAGACCCGTAGTTAACGATAATATCCTTATCAAAAATACCCATAAGGTCGATCAAACTATCAAACCCACGGTTATTTTTGCTAGCTTGAAATCTCTCTCTCACTAAATAAATTATTCACTTTAATGTAATATTCAATTTTCTTAGGTGAAGGCAATGAGAAAATAGTCGGACGACCAACATCAGGTAATCAATCTTTAATTAACCAGTATTTTATATTTAAACTATGACTTACCTGAAAATGTTTGCATCATTATGTGATCAAAATCTACCGAGTTGCTGCATGATTTTTATAATTAAATTCTCAATAACAAACAATAGTTTCAAGTTTCAACAACAAAACGCACTTCAATAATTCCTATTCAAACAAGTTTAATTTAATTATTAATAATGTTATCCTTTTGTAGAGAAAATGTGTCTTTTCGGACAAAGACTGGTGCGAGTGGGACAGAAATTTGAGAAAACTATCGAAGCTCCCAGAAATATGAACGTAACTTGTGAATGTAAAATTCCGCCCCTATTGACTTGTGTAACCTATGTGATATAATTTATTGTTAATTTGTATTTATTTTTTGAAATGCTTTATTAGTTTATATTAATTTATTTTATCAATAATAAATATGGAAAATTATTTAGTAGTTTTTGTCGTACCTATATGTATTTTCTTATTTATTACAAAAAATAAAACTACACTAATTTTATGAGTCACAGATGTATAATAACCCAGCCAGCACGTTACATCCCGTAATTATATTTTCGATTCAGAAACTTGTATTTTTAAAAAACATTTATTTTATTAATTAAAATACAATAGTGACAATCGAAAAATATGTGGATCAAATTGCTACAGGGAGTGCCTGAAAACAAATTAACGCTCCTTACTGGAAAGCTCTGGCTTAAATAATAAATATTTGCTGATCCAAGCATTTTCCTAGGCAGGTGGTGGTACTACTAGTGCAGTACCGCTGATTAAGCAGTTTTATATATTTATTAGTATTGACATAGGCGTACGCTTATAATTAACATTGGAAAGGAGAATTATTAGTATAAAGATACCATATAGGGTCTTACAATATAACTCCTCCCTCCTTAAGTGGTTGCCAGTTGTGGTATCTCTAGAAGTTCAGGAATCTCGATGATGGGTAGTTCTATACCTTTTCAACTTCAAATTGGGACTAAGCAACTTTAAATTGGGAACTAACAATATCAAAATGGGAATTAACAAAATCAAATTGGAACTAATCATTTTTAATTTGGTACTAATCAACTTCAAATTGCGACTAATCAATTTTGATTTGGGAAGAAACAAATTCCAATTGAGAATAGACCTATTCGATTTAGGTATTAATATAAATGAAAGATTGCTAGTGAAGAAAATCAATATACATTAATGAAAAAGGGACTTTGAACAGTGATGAAATGAGATTTTGATAAAGTTTGTTAGGCTTTCGCGGTCCGGGTTTATCGATGAAATATTTTCATTCGGGCTTAATGGCTGTCCTAACTTGTAATTTCTTCCGGAATTATGACGTTTCGCTAGCACGCGTGGCTAGCATCTTAAGAGGTGCTTCCATGTCCGATTCTGGTAGCAGTCTGCTACCAGACGTCAGAAAGAGATTCCAACTTACGACAGCAATTGAGCCTGAATGAAAACATTTCATCAAAATGAGATTTTGTTCAAAAATTTCTTTTATTTCAGCGTAATAACAGCATTTTCCTTTATGTATCCAGTCATTTATACCTTATGTTTGCTTTTCTTCGTCCCCCACGTTTGCTTCTAACAACTTCTTGGGTACCTACCCATCGATAAGCTGTAGATTTTTTTATACCCAGAGTGTTAGCCAATCCTCTTCAGTCGCCTTTGTTATTAAAAACAGCTTTTTGCTTTTTTGCATTTTCTGCATCAGGTACTTTAATGTAATGGGCATTTTGTTAATTTAAAATACGGTTTAAAAGTAACTGCCATTTGACATGCAAAACTTTGGAATTTATTCAACAATTCCAATTTGAAGTTGATTAGTACCAAATTAAAATTGTTTATTTACGACTAATGTATAATGTGCGTATTATATTTGTGATTTTGGCAGTATAATGACATATGTTATTCCTCCAGGGATTAATGACGAGTAGCGGGATTAATGGTCATTATTCCACAAAAGTGTCAGTGTCAAACGTGTAGTGCTTGTGGATTTGTATTGAAAATTATGAGACGGATGAAGTTTGTTCATTGAAAATCTCAAATAAATTAATTTGTCGTAAATAAAGTAGAGTATACTACTCGCAATAATGGCTATTATTCCCTCGGAATGTTACTCCCTCGCCCCTAACGCGGCTCAGTTCGTAATAATCCTCGGGAATAATAGCTATCATTATTGACTCGTGGTATAATCTACTATTATTCCCAATTTGACTTTGTTTATTCCCATTTTGAACGTGTTAGTTACCAATTAAAAGTTGATTAATCCCAATTTGAAATTGCTAGGTTCCAAATTGAAATTGATTGATCCCAATTTGAAGTTGAAAAGGTATAGTTCTAGGTTGAAGTTCTCATGCGTGTCTTCCAAAAATGTTCGATTATTAATTGTTATTGAACATTTACCTTTGGAAATTACGATTGGACTGGAAATGATTTCCATGTACTCCTTCTGGTCACATTGCAGCATCGCTGTCACATGTCGTTTTGGAATGACCAATATTTGATTATTGGGTATTTCTTCAATTGTCGATTCTTCATATTGAATTTTCGTGAATGGGCATAATTGTTGTTCACTAGATACAATTTCGTGAACACAGGGCTCATCTTGTTTCAATAGTTCCATTTTGTACGAATAAATGTCTTCAACATTTGGACATTTTTGTAAAGCGTTGTAATACGTGTCTGTGGTAAGTAAAAGGTAAGGATACTTAACACTAATTGTATAATTTTGGATGGGTATAGGATATAATTTATACAATATAAAAGGTTTAGGATTAATTATTGGTGTGAATATAGTAAAAATAATTAATTCCTTTTGAATAATAGGGAATTTTCATATTTTTCAATTTATTTTTTTTTAGATACTTCTAGCGATTAGATATTACATGGTTCAATTTTTTTCCATTTTAATTTATTCGTTGTACGAAATTTTTTTTATTGAAATTCAAATCAAAAACTTTGGCGCGAAAACGCGAGGTTTCAATATGACAGCACTTGTGACATCAATATTTCGTAAACAACAAACGCAGGAAACGAACTTCTGCTGACGCAGTGCTATTTTTGAGTTATTTAAAAGTGGAAAAGCTTTCTTTTTGTGAAAATTGTCGCGATGGATGAAGAATATTGTGTAGGACTACTTTTGGAATTTTATTTTACTTGCAAGTTCTCTTTTGACAAGCTTGTTTACAGAATCGTGACGTCAAAAAAAGGGGCCATCATGGACGCATTGTTTTGGCGGGAAATTTTTTATTTCAAATTTAGTATTATTTTTTGTGTAACAAGGGCAGTATTAGTTAAATGAAAACTGGTCATATGGATATTGTACAGTATAAACTATCGATTTAAATCAAATTTGGAAAATTTTATTTAACTTGCAAGTTCCCTATTACATGAGAGGACATTGTCTCATAGTATTTAATTACGTTATCAAAGGGTATTTGTTCTCTCTCGGGTATATTTTTCAAGGTCAAATTTAACTCATGATGCTGCAGAATTGTATAGTGCATTATGCCTACGCGTGCAAAGCTTATTGCGTTTTGTATGTGGCTAATAATTTCTCGCAGCTTACTACTGCGCATATTAATATTTTCTAAAATTAGATTCATCATTAAGATAGTTTGAATATTTTGATTATCCGTCGAAATATTTCTTATCTTGCCTGAGATAATTATCTGATTATTTTCGATAGTAGAAAATTGATCATGAAATGTTTTCGTAACTTGTTTAAGTACGTTTGCTTGATCTTCTAGATTTTTATCGATAGTTTGCCGATTCTCATTTAATGTTTGAATGTAAGAATCATATCTATCGCCGTCATTTGCGTCTAATGTACCATACAACCATTTTTGTGCGGTACCAATAAAATTGAATACTCCACGTTTAATTCGATCGTGTGAAAATTGTTTTATAAATTTCTTTAATGTATTGATACGTGATTGGCTAGTTTCAATATTTACTTGTAATAAAGTAACAATTTCGTCTTTATTAGACCATTTGGTTAAATTTAAAGTATTGTTAAATTCTTTAAAGTTATTTCGAGAGTTTAAATACTGTTTCCAATAAGGGTAGTATTAATGTGATAACATGCAGTGTTGTGTTGTGTTGTGATGTAAGTGGTTCCTATAGAAATCGGTAAAATAGGATTTCTCAATGGAGTTAATGTGTAGGCGTTACTGGAAATTCCTATGAGGTGGATGATGAAAGCTGCCGTGAACATTTTGGTTTTTCTGAAACAAAATGTTGTCGCTTTACCATTTGTTTACTAAATCTGACTTGTGTTTTAGCACCATAACGAGGACTAATTTTATTTCTGTCAAATTGCTTAATAAAAATAGGATCTTTTAATTCAGGTTCCTTTTCACGTTGCTTATTGATTTTCTCTAAATTCTGTGTTTGTTTTGATATTAGTTTGTCATGAATTACATTATTTAGAGTTTCTAATGATTCGGCAAGATTATTAATATAATCTGTGGTTATCTTATTTTGGGAATTTTCAATAGGTATTGAATAATTTAAATCGCCTTTATTTATTTGGAAAGGTGTATGACCTGTAACACTATGTATGCTGTTATTATAATTCAAGATTGCAATTACCATTAAATCATTAATGTTTTTATTAGGGCTTTGTAATTTCAAGCTTGTTAGACTTTCTCTCAGGGTAGAATGTAGTTTTTCTATTTGACTATTAGAATTAGGGTTTCGAGGTGTCGTATAATGGAATTCGATTTTATGTAAAGTACATAAATCTGTTACAATTGCGTTTTTAAATTCAGTTCCGTTATCGGAAGTAATTCTTTGTGGAATTCCATAGTCACTGAAAGATCTTATTAATTGTGATGCAATCTCAACTGAAGTTTTGCTAATAATTGGGATAGCTTGTGCAAACTTCGAAAAGCTGTCAATAATTGTTAGGAATTTTTGATTCGAAACTACGTATGTAGCAATATAAAGGTGTGTTACGGGATTAATTTTCTCCCTAAAATAAAGGTACCTCCATCTACCAATCGAGTCAGTAAGGTTCATAAACACTCACGCAGTTTTCAGGATTTTATTTTCACAGTACCACCTAACAATAATTGTGCTTATTTATTTAAACATTTGACTATAAATAATAACAGTTCCCTGCTTTGGTCCAATTACAGATTTCTGCTTTCCCTTCCTCGATGGTACCATGGTACCCAACCTAAAATTGTGACACTTAAAAATTCCCTATTTGGACACCCATGCTTCCGGAAGGGATAGGTTTTTTTGGTAAAAAGAGGGCAGCTTTTTGAAGAGCACGTTGTGAGCTTCCTCTCTTAGCGCTTTTGCTGATTTTACCATAAGTTTTGAGTCCCTAATTGGATCCCCTTTGTGAGTTGCTGAGATTAAAGCATCACAGTGCCACTAGGCAGATTTTTGGTCAAATTTTAAGGGTTTAAACCTCAAACTTAACCGTTTTCCTTTGTGTGCTGTATCTGGAAAAGGCCAAAGTATTTTGGTAAGTTCTCGTTTCCTACTATTTCTCTTTTGCTTACCCTGTGTGAATATATATATTTTCGTTT